CCCTCCCCTCCCCTCCCTCCCCTCCTCCCCTCCCCCCCCTCCCTCCCCTCCCTCCCCTCCCTCCCCCTCCCCTCCCCTCCCCCCCTCCCTCCCCTCTCCTCCCCTCCCTCCCCTCCCCCTTCCCTCCCCTCCCCCTCCCTCCCTCACCCTCCCTCCCCTCCCCCTCCCTCCCCCCCCCTCCCCTCCCCTCCCCCCCTCCCCTCCTCTCCTCTCCCTTCTTCTCCCCTCCCCTCTTCTCCCCTCCCCTCTCCACTTTCCTTTCTCCTTTCTCCTTTCCTTTCCTTTCTTGCATCTTGCTCTGTTGCCCAGGCGGGAATACAGTGGTGCCATCACAGCTCACTGCAGTTTTGACCTCCCAGGTTCCCTCCGCCTCAGCCTCCCAAATAGCCGGGACCACAGGGGAATGCCACCATGCCTGGCTAATTTTTTTTTATTTTTAGCAGAGGTAGGGTCTTCTATGTTGCCCAGGCTGGTCTCGAACTCCTGGCCTCAAGCGATCTGCCCTCCTCTGCCTCCCAAAGTGCTGGGATGACAGGCGTGCGCCACCGAGCCTGGTCTCTTAACCATGACACCCTTCTCTCCCCTTGGGAAATGCGAGAGCTCCAGCTCGGATATGGAGAAAGCGGGCACAGATCGTAAAACTCTTGGCCTCCAATATTAACATATGGTGCCGACAGCGCTGAACTCACAGTCACAGTCTCGCTGTGTGGCTTTGGGTGTTCCCACACCTCTCTGGGCCCAAGTTCTTCTCTGTCCCTGGGCCTAGGGCCTGGCCTGCCTGGCTGCCTCCATCACAGCCCTCCTGCCCCACCAGGGAGAAAGCCCAGGAGCTGTCGAACTGGATCCACCAGCTGGAGTCTGAGAAGTTCGACCTGATGGCGAAGCTGAAACAGCAGAAATATGAGGTGAGACCCAGCTCTGCAGGGAGGAAGGGTAGGGCTGGGCTGGGAGGGACCAGCAAGTTCTGTGCAGGGTTGGGTGGCCCGTCCCGACGTCCCCACTGGCTGTCCCAGCATCTGCTTTCTGCTTCCACAGATCAACGTGCTGTACAACCGCATCAGCCATGCCCAGAAGTTGTGAGTGTGATCCTGTCTCGAGCCCTTGCTCTCGTCCCCACCCTCCCGCGGACTCTCAGGCCTCTCTTTCCTCCCTGTGTGGGCTCCATCCCCCACTGCCTCTGGGTTTCTGCCCCTTTCTCTTTGTTCTTCCTTCTCCGTCTTCCTCTCTCTGCTCTCGGAATCCTGGGTCTCAGTCCCTTTGTCTTTTTCCTTTCTTATTTTTAGTTTTTGAGAGGGAGTCTTGCTCTGTTGCCCAGGCTGGAGTGCAATGGTGCAATCTCAGCTCACTGCAACCTCCATCTCCCGGGTTCAAGCGATTCTCCTGCCTCAGCCTCCCAAGTAGCTGGGATTACAGGCGTGCGCCACCACGGCCGGCTAATTTTTGTATTTGTTTAGTAGAGACGGGGTTTCCCCATGTTGATCGGGCTGGTCTCGAACTCCTGACCACAGGTGATCCGCCCACCTCGGCCTCCCAAAGTGCTGGGATGACAGGTGTAATCCTGAGCCACCGCGACCAGCCCCTTTTCCTATGTTCCTCTAAATCCACAGCCAGGGAGGGGAGGGCCAGTCTCATTCCCCGGAGGACACTGGGCAGCGTCGGGAGGCATTCGGCTGTCACAACTGGAGAGGGGCCACAGGCATCTAGAATGCAGAGACCCGCATGCTGCTCAGCGTCCTACAATGCCCAAGACAGGGCCCCACACAGCAAAGAATGATCTGGCCCAAATGTCTACGGTGCTGAGGTTCAGAGGGTCTTCTCTTTTTTTTTTTGAGACAGTCTCTCTCTGTCACCCAGGCTGGAGTGCAGCGGCGCGATCTCAGCTCACTGCAACCTCTGCCTCCCTGGGGTTCAAGCGATTCTCCTCCCTCAGCCTCCTGAGTAGCTGGGATTACAGGCGCACGCCACCGTGCCCGGCTAATTTTTGTATTTTTAGTAGAGACGGGGTTTCACCACGTTGGTCAGGCTGGTCTCAAACTCCTGACCTCGTGATCCGCCCACCTTGGCCTCCCAAAGTGCTGGGATTACAGGCGTGAGCCACCGCGTCCAGCCGAGAAGGTCTTCTCTGAATCTCTCTCTCTGTTTCTCGACTGATGTCTTCCTTCCTCCCTCCTCTCCCTCTCCCTTCTCCTCTTCTCCTGTTTCCTGTCTCTTTCACCCCAGCCCTTCCTGCATGTTACCTACCCAGGCCCAGATCACCCAACCCTTCCTCCCCCTACGCTGGCCCCTGACTCATAAACATTCATCAGCTCCGCCATGAACACCCTGCATCACCCCCAAATGTCAGCTCCCACGTGTCAGTGAGGCCTTTGGCCACCAGCCGCTGCCCCCCAGTCGTAGAACCCAAAAGAGATGACAGCTGTTTTGCACACGGCTTCCTCTGGGCAGACAGGGCTAATATTTTGGGGGATGGGCTTCCTGAATTGAGGGCCTGGGGCCCATTTCAGAGGCTGGAGGGGCCCCTTCTTCCTGATACCACCTCCTTCTTCTACAGCCGGAAGGGGGCAGGGAAGGGCCGCGTTGGAGGCCGCTGGAAGTGAGGACGCCGCCCCGGACAGTGGCCTGCTCTTACCCACCCGGGAAGCCTGGGAGTGTCAGTCCCTTCGGTAGCTTGAAATAAACGCTTCCCTCAGACACCTGCTGGGTTCTCTGATGTTATTGTTGTTGATATGCGGCTGGTCTCTCGTGGTTCATTGACTTCTTATTACCAACACGCCATTGCTTGAAAGAGTGTCATCAATAATAATCATTAGAGTATGGCAGACTGAACCTTCACTCACTGCTGGTGGGAATGGAAAATGCAACAGCTTTGCAAGCAACCTGGCGGTTCCTCAACAAGTGAAGCCTTTCCACAGGACCCAGCCGTTCCCCTCCTAGATGGATGTCCGAGAGAGCCAAGAACCTTTGCCCACACAAAAGCTTGCACATGAATTTCTTAGCAGCATTTTTATTTTTAATTTTTTTTTTTTTTTTTTGAGACGGAGTCTCGCTCTGTCGCCCAGGCTGGAGTGCAGTGGTGCGATCTCAGCTCACTGCAAGCTCCGCTGCCTCCTGGGTTCACGCCATTCTCCTGCCTCAGCCTCCTGAGTAGCTGGGACTATAGGTACCCGCCACTGCGCCCGGCTAATGTTTTTGTATTTTTAGTAGAGACGGGGTTTCACCATGTTCGCCAGGATGGTCTCGATCTCCTGACCTTGTGATCCGCCTGCCTCGGCCTCCCAAAGTGCTGGGATTACAGGCCTAAGCCACCACACCTGGCCTTTATTTTTAATTTTTAGAGACAGGGTCTTGCTCTGTCACCCAGGCTGCAGTGCAGTGGTGTGATCATGGCTCACTGCAGCCTTGAATTCCTGGGCTCAAGTGATCCTCCCACATCAGCCTTTGAAAGTGCTGGGATTACAGGCGTGAACCACTGCACCGGCCGCAGCATTTTTATTTATTTATTTATTTTTTATTTTTTTTGAGATGGAGTCTTGCTCCGTCACCCAGGCCGCAGCGCAGTGGCATGATCTCGGCTCACCACAACCTCCACCTCCCGGGTTCAAGCAATTTTCCTGTCTCAGCCTCCCAAGCAGCTGGGACTACAGGTGCCCACCACTACGCCTGGCTAATTTTAGTATTTTTGGTAGAGATGGGGTTTCACCATATTGGTCAGGCTGGTCTCAAACTCCTGACCTCAGGTGGTCAGCCCGCCTCGGCCTCCCAATGTGGTGGGATTATAGGTGTGAGCCACTGTGTCTGGCTTTTTTTTTTTTTTTTTTTTTTTTAGACAGAGTCTCACTCTGTCACCCTGGCTGGAGTGCAGTGGTGCGATTTCGGCTCACCGCAACCTCTACTTCCCAGGTTCAAGCAATTCTCCTGCCTCAGCCTCCCAAGTAGCTGGGATTATAGGCGCCTGCCACCACTCCTAGCTAATTTTTATATTTTTAGTAGAGACGGGGTTTCACCACGTTGGTCAGGCTGGTCTCGAACTCCTGACCTCAGGTGATCCGCCTGCCTCAGCCTCCCAAAGTGCTGAGATTACAGCTGTGAGCCACCGTGCCCAGCCCACTGCATTTTTCTTAATAGCCTAAAGGCAAGCAACTCAAATGTTCATTAACTGATGAACATACATTGATAAACATACGTTGGTTCATCCACACAGTGGAATGTTGTTTAGCCACAGAAAGGAATGAAGGGCTGACATGTGGTGTGACATGCATGAACCTTGAAAACATACTAAGTGAAAGGAACCAGACATCAAAGACCACATATTATATGATTCCATTTGTATGAATTTTCTAGAATAGGCAAATCCATAGAAGCAGGAAGGAGGTTCGTGTTTTTGAGGGGCTGGGGGACGGTGGGTAGAGATGACGGCTAAAGAGAATGGCGTTTCTTTTTTGATGACAAACGTGTTCTGGAATTAGATAGTGGTGACAGTTGCACAACCTGTGAATATACTGAAAAACTCTGAATTGTACTTTAGATGGTACATCTTATGATATGTAAAGTATATCCAAATTAAGAAATTCAAAAGCAGGCCAAGTGAGGTGGCTCCTGCTTATAATCCCAGAACTTTGGGAGATCGAGGCGGGAGGATCTTTTTTTTTTTTTTGAGATGGAGTCTCGTTCTGTCACCCAGGTTGGAGTGCAGTGGCGCAATCTTGGCTCACTGCCAAGCTCAAGGCAGGAGGATCTCTTGAGGTCAGGAGTAGGTGACCAGCCTGGCCATCTCTAGGAAACCCTAGCTCTACTAAATTACAAAAGAAAAAAGAAAAAAAAAATGAGCTGGGCATAGTGGTGCCTGTAATCCCAGCTACTCAGGAGGCTGAGGCAGGAGAATCGCTTGAACGGTGGGTGGGGGGGCGTTGCAGTGAGCCGAGATTACACCTCTGCCCTCCAGCCTGGGTGACAGAGCAGGACTCCATCTCTCTCACACACACACAAAATGCAAAAGCACATTTAAAAAGTGACACGTGGCCGGGTGCGGTGGCTCAAGCCTGTAATCCCAGCACTTTGGGAGGCCGAGACGGGCGGATCACGAGGTCAGGAGATCGAGACCATCCTGGCTAACACGGTGAAACCCCGTCTCTACTAAAAAATACAAAAAAAAAACTAGCTGGGCGAGGTGGCGGGCGCCTGTAGTCCCGGCTACTCGGGAGGCTGAGACAGGAGAATGGCGGGAACCCGGGAGGCGGAGCTTGCAGTGAGCTGAGATCCGGCCACTGCACTCCAGCCTGGGCGGCAGAGCGAGACTCTGTCTCAACAAAAAAATAAAAATAAAAATAAAATAAAAAAAGAAAAAAAGAGACCAGGCGCTGTGGCTCATGCCTGTAATCCCAGCACTTTGGGAGACTGAGGCGGGTGGATCATGAGGTCAGGAGATTGAGCCATTCCTGGCTAACATGGTGAAACTAAAAATACAAGAAAATTAGCTGGGTGTGGTGGTGGGTGCCTGTAGTCCCCGCTACTCAGGAGGCTGAGGCAGGAGAATGGCGTGAACCTGGGAGGCGGAGCCTGCAGTGAGCCGAGGACGCCACTGTGCTCCAGCCTGGGCGACAGAGCAAGACTCCATCTCAAAAAAAAAAAAAAAAGAAAAGAAAGATAAAAAAGAATTGAGCTTCTGGCCTGGGATGTGGGCTTATACCTGTAATCCCAGCACTTTGGGAGGCCGAGGTGAGGGTGTTGCTTGAGGCCAGGAATTTGAGACCAGCCTAGGCAACATAATGAGACACCATCCCTACCAAAAAATACAAAAACTTAGCCAGATGCGGTGGTGTGCACCTGTAGTCCTACGTACTTGGGAGACTGACACAGGAGGATGGCTTGAGCCCGGGAGTTTGAGGCTTCAGTGAGTTATGATCATACCACTGCACTCCAGCCTGGGTGGCAGAGTAAACCCTGTCTCAAAAAAAAAAAAAAAAAAAAAAAAAGTCTTCTTCTGCCTTTCTGTGTTACTTCCAGCTATAAGGTCACTTGATGAGCACAGCATGATTTCTCGAGCTGCAGCCATCACGTCCACTTTCTAAGAAGGAGAAGGGCAGAAGAGAAGACCAGAAATGGGCAGCCTTCAGCTGAATCAGCCCCTTTGATGAAGCCTTTCTGTTCCTTTTTTTTTTTTTTTTTTTTTTAGATGGAGTCTTGCTCTGTCGCCCAGGCTGGAGTGCCGTGGCGAGATCTTGGCTCACTGCAACCTCTGCCTCCTCGGTTCAAGCGATTCTCCTGTCTCAGCCTCCTGAGTAGCTGGGACCACAGGCGTGCGCCATCACACCCGGCTAATTTTTGTATTTTTAGTAGAGATGAGATTTCACCATGTTGTCCAGGCTGGTCTCGAACTCCTGACCTTGTGATCCATCCACCTCGGCCTCCCAAAGTGCTGGGATTCTAGGCGTGAGCCCCTGCACCCTGCCTCGACGAAGCCTTTCTGGAAGCCCCGCCCAACAATGTTCATTTCCATGTCATTGGCTTCCTCTCATTGCAAAGGAGACCGGGTCTCCACGTTGTGCTTTAGCTAGCTGGGTGCTTTACTATTCCAAATAAGATTTCCATTGTACTATTGAGGATGGAGACGATAGCTGTGGGCAGACATTAGCAGTCTCTGACACAGTCCACCCTTTTTGTTACACAGCACAAATATGTAGATCCTGAACATGGAACATACTTGCTTCCCAAGAACAAGAACCCAGGTTCTTGGAGGTCAGACCAGGTTCATGGAGGTCAGACCAGGTTCTTGGGGTCAAGCCAGACCCTTTTTTTTTTTTTTTTTTTTTTGAGAAGGAGTCTCACTTTGTCACCCAGGCTGCAGTGCAGTGGTGTGATCTCAGCTCACTGCAACCTCTGCCTCCCAGGTTCAAGCAATTCTCCTGCCTCAGCCTCCTGAGCAGCTGGGAATACAGGCACGTGCACCACACCTGGCTAATTTTTTGTATTTTTAGTAGAGATGGGGTTTCACTATGTTGGCCAGGCTGGTCTCGAACTCCTGACCTCGTGATTCACTCACCTGAGCCTCCCAAAGTACTGGCATTGCAGATGTGAGCCACTGCTCCTGGCCAAGCCAGACCTATTAGTCAGGCTTGGGTGTGTCTCTGGATGGGTTAGCATCACATAAATAAAAAGACAAGTTATCTGGCTGGGCATTGCAAAGTGCTAGTATTACAGGCATGAGCCACCATGCCTGGCTGTGCTTATGCTTGTACATGTCCATGTAAACATGTCTATGTACATTTTCATGACTGTGATCGCTTATTTGTGGGGAACACAGTTTGGGATATCTCATCTGCCCGACCCACCCAATGAACTGTGGGATGTGTTCTCACCATTAGCTCTATTAGCAATCTTTACCTGGACTGCCATCCTTAGACTTTTATTTCTACTTAAAAAATGGTATCCCACTAGAATGGTTAAGAATTCCAGCTCGGCCGGGCGCGGTGGCTCAAGCCTGTAATCCCAGCACTTTGGGAGGCCGAGACGGGCGGATCACGAGGTCAGGAGTTCGAGACCATCCTGGCTAACACGGTGAAACCCCGTCTCTACTAAAAAAATACAAAAAACTAGCCGGGCGAGGTGGCGGGCGCCTGTAGTCCCGGCTGCTCGGGAGGCTGAGGCAAGAGAATGGCGTAAAAACCTGGGGGGCGGAGCTTGCAGTGAGCTGAGATC